ATAATGCCAATGATAGAGATGACTAGCTTAGAAAAATTATGAAAGTATAAGTTTCAGCTAAATATAAAATTATTACATGGATTATGTTAGAAGGATGTGTAGTAAGTATGGATGGTAGAACTATCACAAAAGGATTTAAGCCATGTTGTTGTGTTGGTAATGGTAGAAGAATTAGGTTTTTTAATGATATTTAGGTCAATTTCATATGTTTGAAAGGAAATTTTTCGAGGTTATTTCATTTGATGGCAAATCAAGAGGGGTTTATTTGTATTTTTAAAATTATAGGATTGATATCTTAGATATAAGATATTAGGTTTAGAAGACATCTTTTTGTTTGGAAGGTTCAGGTAAGGGATCAATAAATGAGAGTATACATGAGGGTTTTTTTTTAAAAAAATAAAGATGGTAAAGATAAACTAATATGGATTCATTTGATAAATGAGTTCTTATTTAGTTAAGAGTTATGGGAGCAATTAAAACGCAATGCTAATGTTTTTGTTGAGTCTAGGGTGGAGGCTAGGATTTAGTCTATAGAGGTGCTAGAAGAAGTAAATGCTTGATTTTATTTGACAATGAGAAAACTAATGATAATTTATACCATACAAGTGTCATAATAAATTAAATATTTATAATCCATGTCTTTTTTTTTGTGAGAAGATATGAGGAAATTGCAAATAATTCATTTATAAATTGCTTTTACTCGTAGAAGGTCTGGTATACTTGTTTTCGTGGGGGAAAATAAAGTGGGCTACTCACGAGTTAATTGAGAACTTGTTCGTTCCTTGACCTGGTTTTATAGTAAGGTCGTATAGAAAATACATTTTTGAGATTTTTTTTTTGCTTTGGTGATACAACCAATATTGTTAGCCCAATATTTTTATAAAAAAGATTTCAATTGCTAAATGTGTGCATCTTTTTAGAATTAGGCTAGCTAGTTAAATATAAGCTGTATTTATTTGTTGGCTCAACTCTCTTTGAATAATGTTTACTTATCAATCTTTAATGTCTTTATTTTTAACATAAAAAAAAGACTCTAAGAGATGCCTTTCAGTTGGTGCCAGTGTTAGGCATTTGAAATTGATGTGGATGGTTAACCACATGTTGGATTGGAAAAATGTTGGTATTGATGGAGTGTTGAGGCATTGAAATTGCAAAAGTCTAGTTTATTATTATTATTTTTATAGAATTATAGAATTATATTTATAGGATTACTGCTAATAAAGGAAGTTTTAATGATGATTGTACTTTATACTTACGAAATTATGTTTGCATGGGAGGTGAAGAGAGATTCAAGAGCAGCAATTTCATGGGAGGAAGAACTTAAAGAATCAAAAGGCATTACTTTTCTTCATGTAAATTGTGAGAAGAATAATTTCGTAGATAAGTTGTTAAAGATAAAGTTTTAGAGAAAGTTAGTAATTATTGGATGTTTGTAGGGTTTTCCTTTGGGCTTCATAGCTGCATGCTCAAATCTTTTTTATCTTTTTTGCTAGTAGTAGGAGGCTTCAAGTTTTTCCATAGTTACATTTGCTAATATATCATTATTAAAAAGGATTTAGGGTTATGTTTAACATGGGTGAACTATGATGTTCCTAAAAATGCTATATGCTTACCTTAATGAACTATTGCAACCATGTTTTTATAGAGCTCCTATTTGGTACATAAAGCCAACATAAATTGTTGGTGATTGATTTTGGAACTACTAAGTTGCTATTTTATATTTTTATGTTGTGCTATTAGTTTGTCTAATTGTTATTTGATTATAATTAAGAATCTCTTTTATCCTTTTGATGGAATGTACATATATTGATGACAAACCAACTTTGTAGGTTACAAAGTGTTTATTTTTCATGATTTACCATAATGCTTATTGAAGAAAATAATTTATTTTTTAAAAAAACAATATTTAAATTCTAACACTTAATATATATATAAATACATAATATTATAAAAATAATTTAAAAATATAAAAAATAGAACAAATATTAATATGGGGTAGATATCGAATTTATCATCACCAGTAAATATTTGTAATTGGTGTAGTTTTTGTCCCCATACTTGCCACACCATTCTTTAATCTCACTCAATTACTTGTTACTTGCCTCTAATGTACTGAGTTAAAACAGATTACTTATTAACTCATTCCATGGACCATCATTGTTTAGATGTTGCCCAAATTATCACTCATAATTAAAGAAAACAATTCAACATGTAATTAGATTAAAATGACCTAATCTATCCCGTTTGATATGATTTTTTACTTAAAATTTGGATTTGAGTTAAGTCAACTAATTGAAAATAGAGGTTTGAATCATGTCAGATTTAAATTTAGGTTCAATAGTTTAATACCCGACCTCGACCCAACCACATATATATGTATATTTTTACATAATATATAATTAATTATTTGTATTATTTAGTTATAAAATTTATTTGGAGTAAGTTAAATATTTTATATACCAATTTTAAGTCGGATTAGATATAACTTTTTCTTTAATTGTTCGATTCAAATCAAATCGAGTACATGAAATTAAGTAATCAATCACTTGACCTATTGTCACACTTAACCTGTTGTCATTCGTTATTAAAATATGATAACGATACCCATCGTTGCTTTAGTATATGAAATATTTGATCTATTTGATCCAAGGCAATGAAGAACATGATCAACTACCAAATTATTATTTATGGGCTTGAGATGCTAGAAATTTGGACAATGATTGCTTTCATGTAATATATTATAACATTTAACCACCAAATCCCTAGATATGAGTTTTTTTTTTTAAACTTTATAATATGACAATTCTGTCTTTCAGTGATAATTTTTACTTAAATAATTCAATAAATTTGAAAAATCAACATAAAAAGGGATACAATAAAGGCTCTTATATTAAGCTAACATAAGACTTTCAATCACAACTCTAGATTTTGCATAAACAAAAGTAACATGACTAATGTGTACATAAAACTTTTAAACCAAGTGTCCATCATGTCCTTAATGAATCCTCTGGCCCAAGATTATTTAGGTCACCAAATATAAACCAATCTATATTGACTTTGATTTGATCACCTTTTATAGGAGGTTCTACTAAATCTTTTGTATAGTCCTATAGACTAGATCCATATGCACATCATAAGAGATATTCAAAGTATGTTAATAGTAACTTGATAAGTATCGAACATAATCTATCAACAAATTATTATTTTTGATGGTACCCTAAAACTTTGTTTAATACCTCTTTTAAAAAACTCTTATAACCATAAAGAAAGCAACTAATATTTGAAGTCACTCATCCATACTTTTTTACATCAATTGACTTATTTTTTACTTAAAAAATACCTTAAAATATTTTGGCTATATTGGTCATATATTAGTGTGTAAATAGTAACTTCCAACAGACCTCCGCATTTATGGCACACCTAGTTTACTTAAGTTTAAAACTTAAAAATTGATAGATTGAAAAGAAGAATAATAATGAAAGAAAATAAATTTTGGAAATTTTTATTATATCATGTTCATTGATAAATGATTCAAAAATTATAAACTTTCTTTTTACACAAAAATATAAGAATGCTAATAACACAAATTTTTTTTTTGGCTAAAATGTTAGGTCGAGTTTTAATCTGTTGTGACTATTACAACTAAAAGAACTTAGATACCTTACTGTATTCTATTCGTCTATAGACAAAAAAAAACTCATTGAGACTAAATCTAAATTAGTCATTACAATTATACCAATATACTAATAAGATAAATTACAAGTTCTATTAAATCAAAAATTATAAGTTAACTATTATTAACTAATAATACATTTATAAAGTGATAAACTATATATTTTTAACAAGATTTGAAGTCGTAACTTTTATTTAAAACAAAAGAATTATAACTATTAGACTACTGAACAACATAATTCATAACTTAATATTTTGTGATTAATTGCACCACCCCAATAACTTTTTTATTTTATTTTATTTTTTATTGTGGATAAATTATGCCTCTGTGGTTACTAGAAACAATTTAAGTTTATATTGACTAAAAGGTAGTTTAGTATGGAAGAAGAACAATCATTATAACAAAAGCATATATTTCTATTTCCTGAGTTATTCTTTCGTTCGAAATGAATATTATATTTATATAAAAAAATAATTTGTTTACTAATCATTAATCTTCTCAACAATAATTTTATTTTCTATTTAAAAATATAATAATATTATTGAATGACTAAACACCTCTGTGGTAGCAAGCATAATTTTATCAATCTGATGGGATCTCATGCCTTGACATTTTTTACAGCATACTAAAATAGCAAATATAAAATTACCATTAATACCAAAATACAATTATTAAATTAAAATGTGTTCATATCATGCCACGTAATATGAATGAATCTGTGGCACATGGATGCATGGGCCTAAGAATATTCATTTCACAATTTCAAAGAAACACCTAACCAGCCTGACCTACTAACTAAACCAGGGTTAAGCTCACATAAATAGTTATAAAAAATTTAATTTTTTTTATAAAAAAAAGTGAATAAAATAATTTAATGTTAGCATGAGAATTAGAAAATTTGAATCATATTATTTAAAGATGAATGAATTATTTTAGTTTCATGGGGGTGTAAATACATAAACATATTTTTAATTCACAATAAAAATCAATTATTACCACTTAATAATTCAAAAAAATAATTTAATTTTCCTTAATTGGTAGTGTCAATAGGAATCTTCCGGTCAATGACTCAACACAATAACAAAGAATCTGTTTCCCGGAGTCTACTTTATACTAAGAAAACTGTAAAATCAAGCTGACGTAATAAATATAATAAATAAATTACAATTAAAAACAAAGAGAAATTTTTTATTTTGCTTTACAGAGGAAAGATTCCGACCAGGCAAAACTTCTTTTCCTCAGAAAAAAACCTATCAACAACCAATAATTTCCTTAACTTCCCTTCTATCCGTCTCTGATGATAACGAACCAAAAAAGGGTAGAAATAGAACAATAACCAGAACCCAAAAAGTTGAGATATTTTTGCCTTTGAATCCAACTATATATAATACATATACATATGTATGTGCCCGTATATATTCTGGGTATGGTACGGTTTGACTTTACAGTGCTGACAGAAGTAGTGGAGTACAAAGAAGCCTTGGAAAAGAGAAAATCTGATTGGTTAGCTTGTGGGTCCTACTCTTGTTGGAGGAGATTCTTCATGCTCATACCCTGAGATCATAATATAGGAAAATATACCCAGAACCAAGAGGAGAGCTCAGCTAGTTGCATTAATACTCGTGAACGGTGGTCATATCACTATGTGGGAAGAGAATTCTGCTTTGTTTTCTATTTTTGACATATGTGGTTGTGTTTTTATCACGAGCGAGGAACAGAAAAACCATGCTTTTTATTTTTTCAGTCAACAGAACCAAATCTGTGTGATGCTTGCTGAATGCTTGTGACTTTCGATTTAGAGTTCGCTAATAGTACACAGACAGACATACCCATCTGGGATTTTTGCGACAATCTTCATAAAGTGAGTCGCTTTCCTTCTCTCTTCTCCTCCACTAACCATTATCCCCTTTCTGTGTTCGTTTCGTGTGGGTTTGTTCATCTTGTGGCCAGTTGTGTGGTAGTGATTGCAGTGCCGAATTTGAAAACTTGAAAAGCCAGAAGGAAAACAAGTTTTTGAGAAATTGGTTCTTCTTCTTTCTTGCCGTATTTGACTTGATTCTGGCTTCTGGTTGTTGCTCTTTTTACCTACTTTTACAAGAATCCAATTTGCTACCGTGCTAAGATGATGGTTGTGTGTCTTTTCTTGAGATGTTCTTGAACTTCCTTTTCTTTTTCTTTTGTTTTTGCTTCGAGTATAATTTGGCTCTTGTTGCGTATTTAATATTGTGTTTGATGGCATCATATGAGAATCCCAACATTTAAGCTGTTTGAATTGTGCAAGCAAACTATATGTGTTAATGTCTTTTTGAATATATGAGCTCTGGAAGAAAAGTACTATGGTAGGTTTTTCTCTTCCTCTGAAAAACATTTCTGATTGCAGTTGGCAAAAACAAATTTTTCTTGACGATGTTTCTGCGACTCGGACAGACTGGGTTTTTGGACACTGGCAAAAGGAATACTTCCTGGAAGTTCCTCTTTTTGTTTTTCATCTTTACTGTGCTTTTGTGTTTCGGATCATGATAGTCTTTCAAATTGGGATTTCATAGGCTCTTTTACAAGCAAAAACTCCTCGTATGGAAGGCGGTGGCTTTACACCCGATTCTTCTTTCGGGACTTTTCCGGATACTGCCATGGATTTGGATTTCATGGATGAACTCTTGTTCGACGGATGCTGGTTAGAGACTATGGATGGGAACAATTTTATGCAGTCGGGCTCTTCATTTTCTGCCGCCATGAATGAACCTTCACAGTTTTTGCGCCTCTCAAAGCCCAATACTGCCGATTTGGGTGGGAATCTACGTGGAGAAATCTATAGAGATGACAAGGAAAGAAGGCTTGGTCTTCCTCCTACTTATCCAAAAATAGAAGAGCTTGTTGAAACTCAATCTCAAAACGACAAGGGTGTTGAAAATGCCACATTTTCAGCACAATCTGAGAGTTTTCTTGTTCAAGGCACTGAAGTTAGCAGAAGATATTGGATAAGTCCAAATTCTCCTTCCTCGGTGAAAGACAGATTAATGCAGGCTATTGGATACCTGAAAGATTTAATGGAAGAAAGGGACTTTCTCATTCAAATATGGGTGCCAGTCAAGAGAGGAGGTAAACATGTCCTTACCACTGAGGAACAGCCCTTCTCTTTCAATCCAAAATACAAGAGTCTTGAGATATACAGAGATGTTTCCAAAAGTTATAGCTTTCCAGCTGAGGAGGACTCCAAGGACTCAGTTGGGTTGCCGGGTCGGGTTTTCCTGGGGAAGTTGCCTGAATGGACTCCTGATGTTCGGTTCTTCAGAAAGGATGAATACCCACGTATTAAATTTGCCCAGCAGTGTGATGTCCGTGGGTCCCTTGCCCTTCCTGTTTTTGAGAGAGGCAGTGGGACTTGCTTGGGTGTTGTTGAGATTGTCACAACTACTCAGAAGATCAATTATCGCCCTGAACTTGAAAATGTTTGCAAAGCTCTTGAGGTCTTCTTCTTCTTCTTCTTCTTCTTCCATTTCCCATTCTCCTTTCTCTCCTCTCTTCTTTCTTGCAGATTTCAGAAAGTTGAATACTTGAACTGTGAAGAGCTGTTGGTTTTACCTTTTTGGTGGAGAATGTTGGAAAGAAACCAAGTTTTGGCATTCAATTACGGTTTCTTGTTGGGACAGAATTTTTAGGATGTATGAACTTTGATTCTAAATTTATAACTTTTACATTTAAAGATACCGTTTAAAGATGTTGAAAAAGTAAGATACCATTAAAAGGATTACTGGGATGTTCCCTTCTTCAAACAAGCATTTCTTATCCTTTTTCTTGATTGACATGAAATACGTCTAAAAAAGTTGTCACCTTGTGATGTGTTTTATCCCATCCTATAACCGAACTTTATTTCTCAACCAAGAGTTCTTAATGTTCTTTAAATTTTTGTCATTTTAATTATGATTACTCTTTTGAATCATTTCCTGGCATTGACTTTCCTCTCTATTCTTTTTTTTTTTTGGCATAGAAAATATAAAGAACCTTTCAAAAGCTCCAACGGTTATGTCTTTCTTTATTCTTTAATATGACTCAATCATGTCACCTTCAGATACAGTAATAAATACTATTCTCATATTCTTGTCTAAATAAAGGATCATTATTTGCAGGCTGTTGATCTAAGGAGTTCACATAATTTCAGCCCTCCAAGTGTCGAGGTGAGTTCTTTCTATCCTAGAAACCATAAATTTAAGCATGCGAAATTGATGACCCATCTCTGACCCTGCAGCTCTCTTTTCTTCTTCACAGGTGTACAATGAGTTATACCAAGCTGCATTGCCTGAGATAGCCGAGGTTTTGGAATCTGTCTGCAAACCACACAGATTGCCTTTAGCTCTGACATGGGCACCGTGCCTCCAACAATCTAAACCTGGATGCCGGCATTCTGATGAAAACTATTCTCAGTGTGTTTCCACACTGGATTCAGCTTGTATTGTCGCTGACGAAGATACTCGTGGCTTTCTTGAAGCATGCTCTGAGCACCATCTGCTTCTAGGTCAGGGAATTGTTGGAAGAGCATTCAAAACAAGCAAACAATGTTTTGCAACTAATATAACCTACTTTAGCAAGACAAATTATCCTCTTGCACACCATGCTAGGATGCTTAAGTTGCATGCTGCTTTAGCAATTCCATTGCGAAGTGTGTATACTGGATCAGTTGAGTTTGTCCTGGAGTTATTCCTTCCAAAGGATTGCCTTGACGACGAAGAAAAGAAGCAGATGCTGAACTTGTTGTCTGCTGTTGTACAACAGAATTTTCGAAGCATTCATGTTACCATGGACAAGGAGCTTGAGGAAGAAGTCATATTGCCGGTTAGAGAGATAACACTTGCTCCAGATGCGATAGTTAAAGAAGACTCTTCAAATTTTGTATCTTCACATTTGCAAGAAACAACACCAGAAGAGTCAACCTGGATTGCACACATGATGGAGGCCCAACAGAAGGGTAAAGGCGTTTCTCTCTCGTGGGAGTATCAGAAAGAAGAACCAAAAGAAGGATTCAACTTGACAACCCATTGGGATGATAGTCAGGTAGAATTATACCATAAGCAGGTATTTTCAGGATTTGAGCAAATTCCACAAAGTTCTGGACCAAGAAGTAGTGCTGATGCTGGTGGGGGATCCTCTTCTTCTGGTGGTCGTCGAACATCAGGCAATAGAAAGACAGGTGAGAAGAGGCGGACCAAATCGGAGAAGACCATCAGCTTGCAAGTTCTGAGGCAATATTTTGCAGGGAGCCTTAAGGATGCAGCTAAGAGTATTGGTGGTAAGAAAATATTTTTGCAAAAACTTAAAAATTGTTTTTTTTTTCTTTGTCAATGTTGAAATGATTTACTGATTACAAACTGAGAGATTAATACTTAAGGGCTCAAAAACTTTTGTTAATGGAATATAATTGGATTTGTTTATAAGGTATAGTTCTAATCATTAATCAATTCATAGTCTCTTTGATCACTGCAGTTATCTTGATTTTATTGTTGGTTATTGTGAGCAGAAAGAAATACTGCATCTTTTATTGAAGTTGGATGTATGCATTTTTTTAATCAAACAGAATATATTTCCCTGGAAGCTGTGTATGCTTTGGTTTCTATTAATTGCCATGGATCATAAATTCCAAATGAGAACAGATCCTTTCTTCTTCTCCGTTCAGATTTTTTCTCTTATCCCTTATTCAGATTCATTTGGGTTGCACATTCTTGAGACTCCTAAAAATTATCTTTGTTGGAGGGATGTTCTGGCTATTTTCTGAGAGCATAATC